ATCCTCAATATATCTGCGGCTAAATTCAACAGGGGAACCGCAGGGAGAAGTGGGTGTTAAGAGGAGTCAAAAGACTCTCTACAGCTCAAGAAACCTGAAAACCCCTCTCCTTCCTCTTGTATGTTTGTCAACACAATAAGTACCCCATCCTGCCCCTCCTCCCACACCCCTGTCTGACATTCATATTATAGTATATAATAACCGCGTGACACAAGGGGGCAGGGCTTGTACAAAAGGGCCCCACCGCTCAGACCCGCCTAGCACGCGGTGATATCTGAATACGGCCCCCGATAGAGCCGCTGCCCGGAAGGGGTTAAGTCGCCGCGGCATCCTCTGGGGCAAAAAGCCAGATATTGATAATTGTTAGAGAATTCAGCAAAGACGCGAGAGAGCGAATCGGGAAAATAAAGAAAGCAGCCGAAGCCGGGAGCCCAAAAAAAACAACCCACTTCCTCTGAGCCCAGGTGATCCCGGACGAGCCCCCATCCTGTGACTGGACAGTGAAAGGAGAAGCAGCACAACGATGAACTAATTTCTTGGTCACTCTGCTCTCTCCTCCTATCAGCATGCTTCTTGTCAGCACAGGAACTGACCGACTCCTTGTGCTGCTTTCCTCCACTCACACTCCAGCCCTGCCGTACAGGGCCTGCGAGGTGCTGATACCGGGTCACATTCCGGTACTTACACTGCTTGTATTTCAATAAATATAATGATGTATTGATGGATATATTATATAAATATTATATTTTACATCTGCCTGGAGGTCAGCTTTATAAATTCCCTTCGGGTGGGGGGTTAAGGATTTCCTGTGCACAGCTGACTTCCTGTGCCGCGATCTCTTAAAAGGGGTAAGTAAACCCAATCGCTAAAAATCTCATAATATGCTGATGCCATTTCAAAGCAACTTTTATTAAAATCATCCCTGGCGGTCCTGCCACGAGGGTCCCCTTCCAGGCACTTCCTGTTAGAGGGTGACAACGCCATAGCCCTGCCTCATAATTGTGCTCCTGCGTTGTCACCCTGTCATATTTGTTTCTTTTCAGAAAACAAGTTACTCAGGAACGATCCGCAGTTGTCACCACCAGGAAACCAGCCCTGAGAGGTGCCATGCAGCCGCTGCTGGGGGGGGTTACATAGACAGGAAGTGGCTGCTAAGAGGCTGCAGGAACCTAACATGGCGGATAGCTGAAGTTGGCTGTGCAAAAAAATGTATCATTTGTATTTATTCCTCTTTTAAGCTGTCGCAAGTCAATATCTTGCTTGTTGTGTCCCATTTCACCCAATGTGGCCCGGCTCGGGGGCCGTAGAGAAGGGCCCAGTGGTCAGGAGGACATTCTGTCGCAACATCCTCAGCACACGTGTGCAAATGTGTCTTTGAAGAGAAGCGCGGTGGGGGGTTCCGGGGACGAGACGGGGAAGAGGACAACACGGGGAAAATTTAGAGGAACTCTCCGCTTTCCGAGCCTTCGTTCTAAGAGACGGACGGGGGATATGTAACACGCAGAGGAACCCAACGAGACGCAGAAGGGCCACAGACTAAAAACTCTCCCCAAAAAAACTAACGTCGTAGAGGAGGAGGAGGGGGAAATTCCCAAACCCAGGGGGGGGACTTGGCCAAAGAGGTCCAATTTCCGCAAAGGACTTTAATCGTCATCGACGGCCCAGGTTCTAGTCATGGACTACTGGCTGGTGATGTTCCTTTGTCTTATGGCAGGTAAGTGACCTTCTTGTGATGTT